AACTGGCTATTGTTTTTATACATTGGTTCACAATCTTAAGACAATTTTTAAAATGAGGAAACTGATGTGGAAGTGATCAACAGCTTTGTCTAGCATGTTAACAATGATAAATAAGCATTACAAAATCTCAGTTCAAAAATTTTACAAAAAACCTGGAGAGGATTATGGCCGTAATGAAGTTGGGAAAAATTCTACTTGAGACTAGACATTCTCTTTCTGAGCTGGAAGGTAAGAATGCTTTGTAGAGACACTTATCAATCCACATTACTTATAGTGCACCTTATAAAGGCATTGCAAAGAAGGAAAAAGATATTCTCTTACCTAGCTGTCAGTGAATCAAAAAAACTCTTCAGTCTTTGCAGCCTAGAACATGCAAATATGAGCAGTACTGACATCTTTCAGGGCCCTATGGCAAAGGGGCTGGCATACTAGCCAAAACTTATCTCAGGAACATGAGTTATAAAACAATAGGAACTGAGACTAAGGAAATTAGGATGACAGAGAATATGCCATTTTCTTTTTGCTTTCTCCCCAAATCCTATGGTAAAGGGACTCAGAAACATGGAGAACCCTGAGGACAGGGAGGAAAGAGGACAAGAAAAAAAACTAGAATCTGGAAAGCTGAAAGACATGGTAACCAACGTGGAGGACGTAAAACTACATCAAAATCCACTTTTCAAGCTGATGGCAGAAAATAAATAAATAGATAAATAAAACTGATTCACAAACAGAACCAGAAATTTACAGAATCTGTAAATCCAGATTTATACACAGAACCCTTCAAAATCATACAAACTTCTGAAGCAGGACATACCTCTGACACAGGGACAGGATACGTGAGGAAGAAGAGATTGCAAACATGTGGAGAATCAGGGGGAAAGTCTTCTAAAAAAGAGGTGGAGATTCCTAGACTCTTTCCCCTTCATCCCACAGCCCCTGGGTGATTGCCTTTCTCTAACTCTAGGAGAAGACTACTCTTCAGAAAGGATAAGACAGAAAGCCTCTGTACGGGTCAACATGAGGCACAGCGGAAGGCATGGGTAGGTAGATACCACTCACATATACATAGTTGATTCTCAATATTTGTGCTAGTACCATCCCATACATCCCTGCAAGCACTAAATGTGCAAATACTGACATTACTCCTGGGGGAATACAAAGTTAAGCTGCTCTGAGCCTCTGGGTCACATTTTAACCTTCCTTTTTGTATCTGTTGTAAGACACCTTAAATATAGTTGATTCAACAACATTGAACTCATAGCCAACCACACACTTCAAGCTGGCATGAAGCTTATCTAACATATTTTAGATAATGTTTTAGGCATATTTTCTCCATAAGGCACATGACAGTCCTGCAACACTCTGCTTGGGAGCCTTTTAAACAGTGAGACCATCGAGAGAGAGCCCATCATTATGAAAAGCAGGGCATGAAGTAGACCATAAAATGTTCACTTGTTTACAGTGGGACAGCTGAAACAAGGAGGCAGAGCACCGCATCATGCTACCCGACCTGGGAGCATGGGTGTTAGATGACTCAACTTTTAAACTGCTATGTACATGCCTGTGAACGACTGTGAAAGCACCTTTGACTACTGATTGAAGGTTACAAGTTTTATAGAGTAGGTGAATTTGCAAAGAGGAACTCCATGGTTAATGAGGATTAACTGTATATGCAACATATGTGTACATAACCTAGTGATTAAGCTCATTTACAGTGATGTTGAAAGCAGAAAATATCCCACACCCACCTTCCTCTACTTGGCTCACAGAACTCTGCCTGCCAGACCCTTACTCTCAAGGCAGAATGCAAGCTTTCTGGAGAATATAATCATTCCATGGAGAAAGAGCTAAAGATACTGACGCTGGGAAGATTCAAGAAACAGCTCACCCCAGACCACCCTACAATAAAAGCTCAAAATCATCTGATGCTACCCATCCATTCAGTCTCCAGTGTCTTCTTCCTCCAATCTTAACTATGAACAAAAGACAGGAATTTCCTAAGATCTGAGGGAAGTCTCCAGCATGTAAGCTCATAGTAAACATTATGAAGGAGAATTAAAGCTCTTAGAAATTAAAAGCCTTACATGAGAAATACTCAACAGCAGGCTGGCAGGTAGAATTAGGGGAATCTCTCCAAAAGTAGAGTAAAACGACATAGAAACACAGAAACGTAAGCAAATTACAGTACCTGTCCAGAAGGTCCTACTCCAAAACAGAAATTCAGGAGAAAAGGAGAAAATACAAGGAAGAAAATAAAAATAATTTTAGACTATTTCCAGAAGTGAAAGGACATCAGTCTCCTGATTGAGAGGATCCAGCACAAGTGAAAACAAATCTACACCAATAAATATTATTGCAAAATTTTTAACACTGGAGACAGATTCTATTGACTTAGAAAAAAGTTAACTTACAAAATATCAGGAGTCATAATGGCTTCAGATTCACAAACAATAAAAACAAAAATATGCAGGGAAAAATTTTCTAAACTTCTGATGGAAAATAATCTGCAATCTAGAGTTTTATACCCAACCAATCTACCAATCAAATATGGGGGTAGAACACAGTTCCAGACATGTAAGCTTTCAAGACTACATCCTATGTTCTCTGTCTCAAGAATTACTGGAGGACATATACTCCACATGGTGAGTAAAAGATACAGCGAACAGGCATTCAACACAAGGGGGAGAGAAGGATGACAGTTGGGCCTCAGAACTAGAGAAGCAACCAGTTCAGACTGGAGGAGAGTGACTAAAGACACAGATATGCTGAAGGCGGTCATAACCTAGATATTCACAGCCTTTGTAATCTAAGGATACTATTTCCTATATATATATCTGGCTCTCATTCTGTTCTGTACTTGGTTTACTTGACCAAATTCCAGAAAAGTGCCTACTTTTTCTTCATGCAGATGTCTAGATCAGCTGAGGAGACTCATCTCACTCCACAGGAAGGCTCTGCACTCATCTCTTCAGAGACGGAGAGAGGTCATGCTAAGTGGAGAAGCAGAAAAAAGAAAACGACTAAGCAGACAACCACTAAGCCTATTTTGGCAGGAGATCCAGGATGCTCCAACTGCGGTGACTTGTGTTCCCAAGACTCACTCATCACCCAGTTCAGACATCTACACATGGGGTTCCTTATAGGAGCTGAAGTAAGACTCAGACTACTCAGCTATCTTCTCGAGGATGCCTTGATCAAACAGTCACTGAACTAGACTTGTGCTTCTCAGCTGTTCAAAGCTAAACAAGATATTGTGTTCACAGGGATGCCATGCAGATGTTGATTAATATAAAAGTCTAGATGGTTTGTAAGAGTTACCAAAGGGAAGAATACATTGAATAAAAACCCACAGGTGGTTTCTGTGTTCTATTTCTTAACTTGAATAACTTGTTCTACTTAACTTGAATAACTGGAATGTTTATTATACATTCTCCTGTAAATTTTACAAGTAAAAATCAAGGCCATTAGAATTTTTCCCTTCTTCTGACCTTTAACCGGAACAAGTAAGCTGAATAAAATATACTAATGGCAACACACAAGAAGGAACATAAAAGTATTGATAATTCAAAGTTACTGACAATCTTTATAAAGTTCTGTACTTCACCTGAAGTGATCCGATGACATCACAATGGAGGTGTGGATACATCACAGGTAGCATAAATTGTAATAGCTCTCGATACTTTGACTTGTAAAATAAGTTCTAAAGTATTAAAAAAAGTGACTTTACACCAATTACAGTGTTTAAACAAAATAGGTCCTTAAGATACAGCAGGCAAATTCTTAAGTAATTTTTGCCCACTGTCTGGGATGCCTGAGGCCTTCTTTCTGGCTAAGACTGAATCTAGACCCTTTTAAGTTTAAGCAATTCTTTTCTGAAATATCTGTCCCAATAGCCATTCATTTTATATTACTTAGTAATCACTTACTGAATGCCAGGCTCTGTTCTAGACACAGGGATAGAAAGAAACACACTCTGCCCTCAGTGAGCTCTAGTGAGAGGCTGAAAAGATACATCTCAGATGCCAAAGGACTTACAGAGAACATAAAGAATGCAGAGGAAGGTTTGAGCTATTTTGAAAAACATGGTCAGGGAAAAGTTTATAGGGTAGGTGACAACTGAGCACCACCCTTAAGGAAGATTTATTTACAGTTAAGGGCACTTCAGAGGGAACAGCAAGTACCGAGATTCTCATTTCAAGTGATACTTATCGCAGTGACTTGACATTGCTGGTCATATTTTGCTGCACACACCCTGCCTCCTTGGACAATGCTGTCCTTGAAGGTAAAACTCCCTTATTACTTAGGACACCATACATCTAAACATAGACTTGAAGTTTCCAACCACTGTTTATATGTGACTCACATCATAAATATTCCAAAAAGTTATGAACTTAAGAACTTTTTTCCTGATTAAAATCAAGATCTTTATATTTGGAGGATAATCTGCCAAAATCACAATGTTTCTCACCAAGACTAGTGGCTTTTAGTCACATTCTCCTAACTGCAAAATATATAACATGTTGACTTAAACCATTTGAGTCAGGTGTGGTAAAATTAGAAGTTCCACAGATGGAGTGTGAACACCACCAAGTCAAAGTAACATTCCACATCTTGTTAAGATTCTTGTGGTTTAAAAAACCTTCAAATGAGAAAGCTACCCAAAATATGTGGCCATCTCTTTAGGATTTAGTACATTCCCAATACAAATATAAATCATCATCTGGCCCTTTGCTTCCACGGGTTGGCATTTAAATTCATGCTTTCCAGTTTTCTACTTCTGTAACGACAAGCTCTTCAGCCAGTTTTTTTTTTTGTATCAATGTCGGTAGAACACCTAATGCTACTGTTTTCCACAACTCTTTTTAAATTCTACAGTAATTACTTAAGATTTAGAATACATAACATACAGAGAAAGATAACATCTATCAGCTTAGGAAAAGCCACAATCAAATTATAGATGAAGGCACTTCCTAACAATTTAGATATCAAATATAGCTCACCTGCTAACAATGGTTGTGCCCCAGCCATTCTGTACCCTGCTCAGACCAACACTGTCCAGAATTTTTTTTTTTTCCCAGAACAGTCCAGATAACAAAGCATTAGTCACAGACACATGAACAAGGGTCACTAACAATTTGTTGCAAGAAAGTCACAGCTTACCAAATAATTAACAATTGTGATGGTGTCATTGCTTGAGCCTTGAAAAAGTTAAAAAAATCTCACCAAAAGACAGGGAGTTTTTTCAACTATGTATTTTAATCAGTATGAACGGTTCCAAGCATTAAATAATACTGAAAAGACAAGCTTTCTAGTTTGAACTTAATATTTCTGATTTTGAGCCAGGTACTCACTGAAGCCAAGGAAGTTTTCTTGATTATTTCTTCTGTTTCCTGTCTTCACTGTTCCTAAATTCCAAAAACAAATCAGCCAGTAATTGAGTCCCAATGACCTTGATATTGTTTTACCACCCTTTTGAAATAACCCTTTGCATACAGCAATGGGAAATTTAGCTTCCAACCAGTGGAAACTTCTCAGGGAAGCTCTTCTTGCCATTCTTGTTTCAAATTTGAGTTTTTAACTGGGTTACTTTTCAACATACAGGAAATCAAACCACTTAAGTCCTGAAAAGGAGTGGAAAGCTTTCAAAGAAATATTTGAGAACATCTGCAAAAGGCAACTGGGACAACTGTACAAATAAATGAAGAACAAATCAATTCCATTTAAGTTATGAAGGCATTTTTCCTTTAATTTATCCAAACATTTCATGTCCATTGTCATTTTATTTAAGCAAATTTAATCCCATAGTATTAAATTCTAAAATATTACAATATTTACAAGACAGCTGGCAGAGAAAACTTGATGATATAAATACAAATACTGTACTGTTTTTTTTTAAAATACCTGCCAATAAAAATGGCAGACTGAACAGTTTTCTCTCTCTGAAGATCCTCGTTCATTTTTTAACGTAACGAGAAGTCCCTAATAGGGAAAGCACCTTATCTTAAATGTCCCACTATCATAGCTTTAGACCCTCAACATTCTTCTTCAAGTTCAGCAGCTCTTTTTCCTGCCTTCTTTTCTCCAGTTTGAAGGCTAATTTGTTAGCTTTCTTCTCCACTCTCCGTTCCTGTGCAAGAAAATGTTCATGTTATTCAAATCTTCACGCTGATGTAGACTAACTTTACAAAAGAAACTTCCCATGACCATACCTGCCCCGCTCCAGCTCTTTCTAAATCTCACATCTGAGAAGATTATTTTACCTTGCGCTCTTCTTTGATAGCTTGCTTTCGTGCTCTTTTATCTTCTTTGCTTTCACTTTTAGAACGTGGTTGGGTTGATATCTTAGGGAGATCACTGTTATTAATCATCTGCATTCGTTCAACTTGCTTTGCTGTGAGTCCTTTCTTAGGTAAGACATTGAGAGGTATTCCTGTTTTAGAAGATAGTCGGATTTGTTTGGGCTGAAAGAAAGATAAAATGGAATTGGGCTATTTTCCACTTCTACTAAAAAACAGCTCACTAATGGCCCATTTAGTTGCTTTTCATAATGGCTTTGAAAGCCACAAAGAGGTAAAGCCCTGAGAAAATAATCTGTACACTCCATTTCCTACATTGCACACTTCAAATTGCTCAGAACACTATGCCTTACCTTTGGTTGATATTTGATAAGCTGTGGATGGTTATATAAATTTGAGTATGTACCTTAAAAAAAACACAAACACAAAAAATCATGTATTAACAAGTTCACTTTCAGTTCAGCAAAAACATTACTGAGTTCCTCCTATATTCTTTAGTGTTTTCATAGTTCAAAATAACAATGGCATCTGCTGCATTTTTAAATATTTCGATTTACAACTAAGTAAGTGAAATGAATATTCACTGAAAGGACTGATGTTGAAGCTCCAAATCTTTGGCCACCTGATGTGAAGAGCTGACTCACTAGAAAAGATCCTGATGCTGGGAAACAGAGGACAGGAGTGTGAGCAAATTGCGGGAGACAGTGAGGGCTCAGGGAAACCCGGTGTGCTGCAGCTCCATGGGGTCGCAGAGTCAGACACCACTTAATGACTGAACGAAAACAAACAAGTATTTTCCCAAAATATGTACTTTTCCAAAAAGTCAATGTACACAATACTTTAAAATTACTATCATACTTTCAGCAGTAAAACGGACACTTAAGATACTTACTACAAATAGACTCACAATCCCACTTCTCTTTGGCTTCTTCAAGAACCACAGTAACAATCTCTTCCTCCTCAGGCCCATCCAGCTCATTCACTGGCAGGTCCTGATCCTCGAAGGGTTCAAGAGTATTCAGTTTTACACAACTTTTGGTTGAGTTTTCCAAAATGAAGACAGAGGGGGGGGGGGAAATACCACTTATTATTACACTATATGTTACTGAAACTGCACTAAAGAGCTAATGAAACAACAGCCTTTTTTCAAATCCACAAACTCATTTGCCCCATCTGTCACTTCCTGTCACAATTAGCTCTATCCAGCCTTGCCTTTCCCCTGTCATTCTGCTGACAGGAAGGAAAAACCTATCTGTATCTTTACACAGTTTTAGCACATTAAACAAGATGGAAGTTTTCCTATATAACATTATCTTTTTTAAAGCCTTGAAAAGCATTAGCCCATCTGTCTCATGAAAGTATTCAAATAACTAAAAAAATGCAACCCTTGTCCTGCACTGGGTTCTACATATGACAGTCATCAGGCAACACAGACCTTTTGAGCAGATGTAAACACCTCATTAGTTTCTCTCAGAGAAATCACCTTGATACAGATGATGATTTACCAAACGTTCAGCTAGAAAGTTATGCTAAATCAGGCTGAAGAGACAAACTCTGATTTACTTCTCAGAACACCTTTTCATGAAAATGAAGAGTATATATACTGAGAAGTCAGAATGATTCTTCAGCCGAAGAGGCTAAAAGCACCATGTCCACCAAGTGTGCGTGACCTTGTACCTTAATCCTGTTATTCTGTCATGACTCTCAAGTCAAAGCTACAAAAAGTTGGCTCTCAGTGTTTCCACTTACTGTTATATTCGGCTTCAGGACTCTTAATAGCAAAATATGAGTGAAAGGTTAGGGAAAATGTATTATTTTCAAAATATGGATTCTGACTGAGTAATTTTTGAGATTCTGCTGTGCGATTACAGACTTTATTTGAAAATGAAAACAAGCAAGAAGCCAAGGAAAAGTCACCATACTTCTCTGCCTTCTCTTTATAGTAGTCATTCAAAACTTCCTCTAAGCGATTGCTGTCTACTTGAATGGAACCTTCCAATTCAGCATTATCCAGAGCTCCAATTTCATCGTCATCATATTGCTCATAAAACTTGAATGTAAAGAGAAAACATAACATGAAAAGGGAATGTAAAGACTACAGCATTTAAATGTTAATTTTACATTTTACTCCTGTACAATATTTAAGCACTATCATGAGATCACAACTACTAATAAAGTACTAGGAGAGATTTAGCACCATAATAATATGATGTGGAAGACATTCTACTCAGCATTCTAAAACTGACATCAAGACTGAAAATAGGCTTCCATTTAACATGAAAATGACCACTGATATAAGAAAAAACCCCTACACAACAGGAGAAAATATTTGCAAATGTTAATACTGTTAAGAGGTTAATACTCAACATATATAAACAGCTCATAAAACTCAACATCAAAAAAAAAAAAAAAAACAAAAAAACAAAACCCAAATAATCTGACTAAAAATGGGCAGAAGACATAAACAGACATTATTCCAAAGAGGAAATGCAGATGGCTAACAGGCCATAAAAGATGTTCAAAACTGCCAGTTAGCAGGGAAATGCAAACCAAAACCACAATGTGGTGTCACCTCAAACATGTTTGAATGGCTATCAGAAACAATAAAAATAACAAATACTGGTGAGGATGTGGAGAAAAGGCAATTCTCGTACACTGTTGGTAGGAATGCAAACAGGTGTACACAATGTAGAAAACACTATGGAAGCTTCTCTAAAAACTAAAACAGAATTACCACATGACCCAGTAATTCCACCTCAGGGTATATATTTGAAAGAAACAAAAACACTAACTTGAAAGATATGTGTATCCCAATGTTCACAGAAGCACTGTAATAGCTAAGCACTATAATAGCTAAGGCATAGAAGGAACCTAAGCACCCATCAACAGATGAAAAAAGATGTGGTATGTGTATACACATGTATGAACACACACACACAATACTACTACTCAGTCATAAAAAAGAATGAAATTTTGCCATCTGCAGCAACATGGATGGACTTAAGGGAATTATGCTAAGTGAAAGACAAACAGTGTATGATATTGCTCATATGCAGAACCTAAGAAAATGCAATCAACTAGTGAATACAAAAAAGACTCAACATGGAGTACAAACTAGTGGTTACCAGTGGAGAGGGCAGGGACAAGGGGCAAAATAGGGGCAGATTAAGATGCATAAACTATTAGGTGTAAAATAAGGACATACTGTACAACATGGGAGAATATAGCCAATATTTTACAATAACTATATTTTATAATAACTATAAATGGAATATAATCTTTAAAATTGTGAATCACTATATTGTATGCCTGTTATTTATATAACATTGTACATCAACTATACTTTAATTTTTAAAATGAAAGGCAGTTATTGTGTTCAGCTTGAACAAATCCTAGGCAGAAATCTTTACCTCAGAATATTTCAGATACTTCCATATTCACTGATTATGCAAGCTAATAGATCATGTAAATAAAAGGTGTTAATGCACAAATTTCACTCTTTGTTTAGATGTTTACTGTATTATTCAAAGGCTGTAAACGTTGTCAGGCTTTGTAAAAGAATTAAGCAAGGGGTGATATAACTCCTGTGAAGTGAGGTTATTAGTTAACAGTTTGCCTATTTCTTGGAGAAGAGAGAGAAATGAATACTCACTGAAAAGGCAAAGTTAGAACCTTTATCTTAGGTATTCCTTGAAGGAATTTATTCATTATTTACGTAACGGTCTGAACTCCTGCCATATGCCAGACACTATATTAGGTATTGGGATATAACAGTAAGAAAAACACTCAAAAAAAAAAACAGACAAAAAGAAAAGGGAAAGCCCAGGCCAATGCTTGAAGATAGCATACTCTCAGAGACTGGGATCAGAGAGGTTCAGAATCAAATTATCAGATTCTACGAGGAATGTCAAGAGGTTTGATCAATCACTTTCTGACTTAAGCACATTCTTTCCAGAATGAAAACTGGGGCCATTTTATGATCTGTTTTTAAAAGACACAGTCTAACACTGAAAGTTCTAGCTTTGGGTTCCAATGTCATAATGTGTACTAGGAACTGGTACTAAAAGGCTCCCCATATGGAGACCTTACCTTTTCAAACCTCTCATCATGTAGGGTCAGCTGTTCATTCCTCCTCATGACTGAGGACGTCAAGGAATACTCAGTAAAGCGACTTTTTGTTTCCTCTTCCCAGAAGAAGTGATTTTCTACAGCCCCAAGAGGTTTTCCAGGGGTAGACATATCCTCATCTGATGAGCCTGCAGGGTCATATCTATCGTCATCACTACCTCCTTCCTTCTCATCATCCACATCTTCCCACTCACTGTCATCTTCAGCCTCAGATTTCCTAAAGTCAGAGCCGTAAATTAACTGTCAAAACAACTTGAAAAACAACAGAACCAAATGACTTTACACAAGTAAAATTTGAAGGTATTTCAGGCAGGATGCTTGTTTAGGCAAGAACAGCTGTGCTGCCTGACCTGTGTGACTTCGTTGGAAAAGTAATGAACTAGCAATCAAGCGACTTGGACTTTAGCCCCATCTATTGATGGCTTGTAAGGACCTCAAGTCTTAAATTTTCTATCCTAAAATGAGAAGACTCAAACTTAATGCTCTCAAAGGTCTCTCCCAGCTATAACTAATGGTTATAGTCCTATGGAAGCAACAGTCAGGGCATTCCTGCTTCAAAACAAACCACACATACTGTATCTCCATTCCCTCTTCCTCTTCTGTTGGCTTATTGGCCTGAAGAATGAAATCATCTTCAAGTAAATTATCCGGATTATCAAAATCAAAATCATCATCAAGAGCTGCAACAATGTCAGGATCAAAATCTAACCGAGGTCCTAGAAGGAAAACAAAAATTGAGAATTCCCAAGAAAGCATGATTCGTTCACTTAACTAACATAATTCTCAGCTATTAACATGCCTGACTCTCTGTACTGAGGATAAAACAGTGATTAAAATTTTTTTAAGTTCAGGAATAAAAACAAAACTGCAAGAAAATTTAAAAAAGAAAAAGTCCCTCTGGTTCAAGTACCCACTGGTAAAACACAGATCTGAAATATTAAGCTGTGTCTATTTAGCAAAATTCAAAGCTTTTACCCGCAGGAAAAAATTGGGCTTTAAATTCACCTGTTAAAAGCAACTCTCACCTGTTAGAAGAAACAAATTATTAGGCTGGTACAAAAGTAGTTGTGGTTTTGGACTGTGAATTTTAAATCATTATATATAACTAGGCTCAAACACATCTTTATTAATCAAGGTAGGAACCATTATAATCAACACATTTTTGCTAATAAGAAATAAGCTTATTCCTATATTGTAAAAATCCATGCTTCAGGATTCGATGGAACTCTTAGAAAGCATTTTCTGCATCCTATTGGTTGTGGTAGTATTTTCCCTGCAAAGTTGTTGAAACGCTTGAAGAAGTGGTAGTCAGTTAGTGAGAGGTCAAGCGAATATGGCATATGAAGTACAACTTTGTAGCCCATTCATTCAACTTCTGAAGTGTTGGTTGTGTGACATGTGATCAAGTGCTGTTGTGGAGAACTAGACCCATTCTGTGACCAATACTGGCTGCAGGCTTTGTGGGTTTTGGTGCATCTCATTGATTTGCTGAGCACAGTTCTCAGTTGTAATGGTTTTGCTGGGATTCAGAAAGCTGCAGTGGATCAGGCCAGCAGCAGACCACCAAACAGTGATTGTGACCTTTTTTTGGGTGCAAGTTTGACTTTGGGAAGTGCTTTGGAGCTTCTTCTCCATTCAACCACAGAGCTGGTCATCCCCAGCTGTTGTATCAAATCCACTTTTTCACTGTATGTCACAATCTGATCAAAAAATGGTTTGCTGCTACATACAATAAAAGACGACACTTCAAAACAATGAGTTTCAGTCAGCTCACAAGGCACCCACTTATCAAGCCTTTTCACCTTTCCAATTTGCTTCAAATGTTGAATGACAATAGAATGGTCAACACCGAGTTCTTAGCAACTTCTCGTGTAGCTGTAAGAGGATCAGCTTTCGTGGTTGCTCTCAATTGGCCACTATCAACTTCCTCTCATCAGCCACTATGCTCCCTCATCTTCAAGGCTCTCATCATCTTTGCAAAACTTCTTGAACTACTACTGCACTGTAAGTTTCTTAGCAGTTCCTGGGCCTAATGCGTTGCTGATGTTGGGAATTGTCTCCACTGCTTTACGACTATGACCCAGTTTTGAACTCAAAAAAAAAAAAAAAAAATCGCTTAAATTTGCTTTTTGTCTAACATTATTTCTACAGTCTAAAATAAACATGAAATGAACAGCAAGTAATAAGTCATTAGTAAAAACACATAAAGCAGGAAATGCACATTAAAATGATGTATAACATAATCACTTTTGCTGAAGAATGGATTCCCGTATCAAAGGGCAAAGTTCAATAATGCAACTCACAATTACTTTTGCACCAACCTAACAAATATCTGTAGCCTGTGAAACTCCTGTCTTTCAGACTTTCTGTCTTTTCAGACTACAAGATTTTAACAAATCCTAATCTGTTTCTTTAGCTGTGTTCTTCTATATGTAAAAATAGTAGAGTCCTAGAAACACTTTCAAGTTCAAACCTGTAAACTGACATGGCTTTCAACACCCTTCACAGAGTGGCCATTACTTGACCTCCAGCCTTGTTTCACATTAACCCTTACCCTTCATTCCAGACCTACTACAGATAAAAGGTGTGCAGATTCCTATACTTATGCTTTTTCTTGGAATATCCTCTCTTCCCCACCCCACCTCCATCTACCTACTTAAATTCTACCTAAGACATCAACCATGACATCTTTGGGGCTTCACAACAATTCATTCATTTGCACTATGATTGTAATTTCCCATTCTTTGTCTATCTTTCCCAGCTGATGATAATTAAGAGGTCAGAGACAATGTTTTTTTTCTGATTTAACCCAAACTCGATCATAGTACAACTAAAAAATTTGCAGAATGGATTAAATGAATGAATGGCACATGGCAAGTGTTAGTCAATAATTAACACAGTTTAGCAGGAAATATCAAACACCACATCTGTGGACTTCTGTTTGTTCATTTTAGTCCTGGTACTGCAAAAAAGAACCCAAACATTATTAATTTTTGGTGTATCTAGAACAGATAGTAAGATGGACTTCTATAAAATACTCCTCTACACTCTTGGGAGAAATTCTGAAAGCGAACAGATAAAGTATTTTCATGACTGCACCACATGAATGTAAGACTGAGTATCACTGTTCCCTTTGTGAGAGGTTAGGACAAGGCTAACATTCCCCTACTAGATCACCAAAAATAATTTTCCCACTTTCCTCTCCAAATAGGGCCTTTAAAGATTAAGAATTTGATGGCAATAAACAGATGCTGATCACAGTTACCCTTCCTAACTTAATGATCTCTAATCTGAATTCAAACACATGTCAGTTGTTGCAACACTTTTATCAGGGAAAGAAAAACTCTATCATTACTATATGTTGCTTTTTTGTAAAATACATCTCTGTCCACTTGAAGTTAAAATTATACATACCTGAAATAGGAGCTGCTTTATTTAACAATCCAATATCTTCTTCAAACTCTGATGCAAACACTGAGGAAGGCAACTTAATTCCACTGGTCTTGAAAAATAAATTATGCAATGGTTAGATTTATTTAGAAATACTTTTCAACTACTAAGAGTTGAAGTGCCCCCCAAATTCATGTCCATCCAGTTCAGAAAGTGACCTGGTTTGGAAACAGGTTCCTCACAGATGTAATTAGTTAAGATGAGATGGTACCAGATGATGGTGTGTCCTTATATGGAGGCCACAAGAAGACAGTAAGACACATGAGGGAAAACGCCATATGAAGATGGAAGAAGACTGGAGTGCTATCCTACGAGCAACAGAAAACTAAGGATTGCTGGCAACTACCAGAAACTAGGAGACAGGCACAAAAAGATTCTTCCTGTGAGGCCCTGAGAAGCAACAACCTTCCGAAAGCTTGCTTTCGGACTTCTGGACTCCACAACTGTGACAGAATACATTCCCGTTGTTTTAAGCCACCCAGTGGTAATATGTGGTAATTTGTTACGGCAATTCTAACACAACCGTATTCTGCATTGTCTCACTTGTACTCCAGTTACCAGTTTTGAACATGTATATCCCCATCATCTCAAAAGCAACTTCCTTGTAATACTTCACAAAACTTAATTATACATCACTTCACTTAATCCGATCGACCCCGTGAGCTGTTAGCATGTTTTAGTCAAACACAAGCTAAGAAAGGTTAAATGGCATGACTGCCTGAGATTAGTTAAGTGAGGTTTGGGGGATTCAAATCCTGGTCTCACAACTCCACTCTCTTCAAATTTCAAAACAAAATCAGTCTTTTCCTACGTAAACCAGAGGCAACATCCTCATCTCTGGTATTGGCACTTTTTTTTTCCCATTTATTTTTATTAGTTGGAGGGTCATTACTTTACAATATTGTAGTGGTTTCTGTCATACATTGACATGAATTAGCCATGGATTTACAAGTATCCCCCATCTCGATCCCCCCTCCCACCTCCCTCTCTACCCGATCCCTCTGGGTCTTCCCAGTGCACCAGCCCTGAGCACTTGTCTCATGCATCCAACCTGGGCTGGTGATCTGTTTCACCCTTGATAGTATACTTGTTTCAATGCTGTTCTCTCAGAACATCCCACCCTCGCCTTCTCCCACAGAGTCCAAAAGTCTGTTCTGTACATCTGTGTCTCTTTTTCTGTTTTGCATATAGGGTTATCGTTACCATCTTTCTAAATTCCATATATATGTGTTAGTATACTGTAATGGTCTTTATCTTTCTGGCTTACTTCACTCTGTATAATGGGCTCCAGTTTCATCCATCTCATTAGAACTGATTCAAATGAATTCTTTTTAATGGCTGAGTAATATTCCATGGTGTATATGTACCACAGCTTCCTCATCCATTCGTCTGCTGATGGGCATCTAGGTTGCTTCCATGTCCTGGCTATTATAAACAGTGCTGCGATGAACATTGGGGTGCACGTGTCTCTTTCAGATCTGGTTTCCTCGGTGTGTATGCCCAGAAGTGGGATTGCTGGGTCATATGGCAGTTCTATTTCCAGCTTTTTAAGAAATCTCCACACTGTTTTCCATAGTGGCTGTACTAATTTGCATTCCCACCAACAGTGTAAGAGGGTTCCCTTTTCTCCACACCCTCTCCAGCATTTATTGCTTGTAGACTTTTGGATAGCAGCCATCCTGACTGGCGTGTAATGGTACCTCATTGTGGTTTTGATTTGCATTTCTCTGATAATGAGTGATGTTGAGCATCTTTTCATGTGTTTGTTAGCCATCTGTATGTCTTCCTTGGAGAAATGTCTGTTTAGTTCTTTGGCCCATTTTTTGATTGGGTCATTTATTTTTCTGGAATTGAGCTGCAGGAGTTGCTTGTATTTTTGAGATTAATCGTTTGTCTGTTGCTTCATTTGCCATTATTTTCTTCCAATCTGAGGGCTGTCTTTTCACCTTGCTTATAGTTTCCTTTGTGGCACAACTTTTCTGAGTTGGCTGCTTAAATGCTAGATCATAAACCATTGTGACCCACTCATTGTTTTGAACTCCTGCATACAGTTTCTTCACATCTATTTTCTGGGCACCATCTTACTCATGGCTAACCAGGGCACAGATGACAGTTAGATGTTGCTTAATCTACCTCTAGTCCAATCTTTTATTCAGTTCAGTTGCTCAGTTGTGTCTGACTCTTTGAGATCCCATGAATTGCAGCGTGCCAGGCTTCCCTGTCCATCACCAACTCCCCAAGTGTACTCAAACTCGTGTACATTGCATCAGTGATGCCATCCAACCATCTCATCCTCTGTTGTCCCCTTCTCCCGCCTTCAATCTTTCCCAGCATCAGGGTCTTTTCAAATGAGTCAGTTCTTCACATCAGTGGCCAAAGTATTGGAATTTCACCTTTAGCATCAGTCCTTCCAATGAACATTCAGGACTGATTTCCTTTAGGATGGACTAGTTGCATCTCCTTGCAGTCCAAGGGACTCTCGAGTCTTCTCCAACACCACAGTTCAAAAGGATCAATTCTTTGGCGCTCAGCTTTTTTATAGTCCAACTCTCATATCCATACGTGACTACTGGAAAAGCCATAGCTCTGACTAGTCAGACTTTTCTTGGCAAAGCAATGTCTCTGCTTTTTAATACGCTGTCTAGGTTGGTCATAACTTTCCTTCCAAGGATTAAGCGTCTTTTAATTTCATGGCTGCAGTCACAATCTGCAGTGATTTTGGAACCCCAAAGAATAAAGTCTGTCACTGTTTCCACATCTATCTGTCATGAAGTGATGGGACTAGATGCCATGATCATAAGTTTTCTGGATGCTGAGTTTTATTCCAACTTTTTCACTCTTCTCTTTCACTTTCATCAAGAGGCTCTTTAGTTCTTCTTTGCTTTCTGCCATATGGGTCATGTCATCTGTGTACCTGAGGTTACTGATATTTCTCCCAACAACCTTGATTCCAGCTTGTGCTTCATCTAACCCAGCGTTTATCATGATGTACTCTGCATGAAAGTTAAATAAGCAGGGTGACAATATACAGCCTTCATGTCCTCCTTTTCCTATTTGGAACCAGTCTGTTGTTCCATGTCCAGTTCCAACTGTTGCTTCCTGACCTGCATACAGGTTTCTCAAGGGGCAGGTCAGGTGGTCTGGTATACCCATCTCTTGAAGAATTCTCCACAGTTTATTGTGATCCGCACAGTCAAAGGCTATTACTGCCAGATTAAAACTCCTTGTCTACTCTGTGTGTCCAGACTCGTTACTGTTACTCAGTAATGGAACCTCCACATAAAATCAAGTCCAGTTCCTTACATCATGGAATAATTCAAAGTAATTTATGGAGCACACATGTGCTAGCCACAATGACCCACAATACTACCTCATGTCCCTTCCTTCTGACTGGAATGATCCTTCTCTCTTCAACAGAATCCACCCTTTTCAGCGGCCAGCTCAGTTTCTTCCTTCTCCATGAAGCTCTTCTTGATTACTGTTCTGGAACTTTCCTCAGTGTCAACTCTCTCATTCTGCACACCATACAATCTACTTCAACATGGGCTGGCACATATTTTCTGACTGGTCGCTAAGCTTTAGTCTCATCTTTTCAGCCACACAGTTGATAATGTGAGAGTCCCCACAACGTGTTCTCTGTCTATGGACCTCAAAACTGTCCCCTCCTCAGTCAAGGAGCGGGCAGGAAGCCAAGCGGCGCATTCTCACCGGCTCACAGAGCCTGCTGGAAGCCCCTGAAGAACACGAGGGCCTATCCGGGAAGCTGTTACGGCTTCAAAGAGTTCTTCAGGTGCGAAGCACGGGCAAAGATCTGGCTTTCTGCTGTGGAATCCTATTTCTTAAAAGATTTACCGAGATATAGTTCATATATTACACAATTCAGCCATTTAAAGTGCATAATTTCATAATTTTGCCACATATTACAATAACTTTTTAAAAACTGTGGTAAACTATGTACTTTTAAGACACTTTGTGATTATCTATCCTTGGACTCTGGGGTTAAAAAGAGGAGGATCAGCTTGGGCTTAATGAATTACCTTTGGAGAAAAGAATCATACATATAGAGTTTAGACAGTAATTACATTTTGGATAAAGGCCTGTGACTTTTTTAGTGGTTGCAACGATTCTGAATTGCTCTCTGCTGTGACAGTACCTGCTTTGCTTCATGAAAAAATCAGGGACTGATCACACTTTACTAATTTCTTCACTGCCTTTCTGTACTGCTTTACTTTCTGTTTTTAGGGCATATTCAATACTCCTGGTTTACTCACTTTGGTGGTGTGTTATACGTTACAGTTGAAGAAACACATGGGACTCATCCGTATTTTTGCATCATGCTACAAAAAACCAATGGCACTTGTTTTTCAAACATAATCCACATATCCTTGTAAACATCACTGAAGTGCCCTTTAATAGTCTTACTCTGTTAGAAGAGTTAATTAATTAGATAGTGGTTACTTTTACCCAAAATGAATTAAATAATCTTTTACTGGCCAATACAATTTAGCCAGAAGAATGTAAGGAATTCACTAAAACATTTATTACTTAGGATAAAGAAATTGAGCCACTTTCCCTCCTTCAAAGGGTCACTGGAAGGAAATGAGTCAATAAGATACACATCCTACCTCGGATGTAACCGGTTTGGGGAAGAAGGTGTAGAGAAATAGGTTCTGGTAAAGATGTGGTAATGGGGTGTGTGGCCTCCCAAGAGAGCTACAACCTAGCGAGTGAATGAACAGGCAAACAGTTATTATTAATACCTCTCTGGTATAACATGCTGATGCCTAACCCTTTTGACTTATCTTAAGCAACAAGTATGGACTGGAGGAGCTTAAGATCACATCTTCCCCAAGGAAAAGAATGTCTAGACCATGGCAGGACTGAGATGAGAAGCAGGGGAAATTGATGCTCTTTGCATCTCTCCTTTCTGTCTATAAATCCAATATATTCATCTTTTTTAAGTGCCAAAAGTGATATACAAGTTTCATAGGAAAATTTACTATATACTACTACTAAACTAAAAATAAGGACTTCCCCAGTAGTATAGTGGCTAAGAATCTGCCTGCCAATGCAGAGGACATAGGTTTGATTCCAGGTCTGGGAAGATCCCACCTACTGTGGGATCAGCTAAGCCCGTGCTTAGAGGCCACGAGCGGCAACTACTGGGCTCAGATTCAGCTCTCCAGCTGACACCACTTCTTGCCTCAAACAATTACCTTGATTTAAAAGTGGTGGTTTACTCACTCACGGCCCCTGACACACACTCACACTCAAACTGCTAAAAAGTCTTACTGAAGTTACTAAAGGCTCTTCTCGCCCATCTCCCCTGGAAGGTGCGCCGACGGCACTCGTGGGAATCAGCTCCGAGGGCCCAGAGGGTTCCTTCAGGTGCTGCAGGTAGTCATAGTCGTCGTCAAAGAACACTCCATACTTCCTCTGCTCCGCTCGCCTCTCCTCCTCTTTTATCTAGGATAATAAACAACACGGACACAGTGCCTGTTCCAAGGATAAGGCCTGGGAACCTTCCAATGAGCACAGCTTTCAGAACACGGGCCAGATGACCCACGAACACTCTGGCTGATAGGAATGAGATAAAGACTTAGACTCAGGAAACACAGGATGCCACATAAAATGAAAATGGAATAAAAACAGTTCCTCCTTCCATTAGACACTTCTGTGCAACAAGTCAAGCCGAGAAACACACACACACTATTTTACTATGTTATGTGGAGAATTAAAAGACTAGGGCGCACTGAAAGGTAAGTACAATTTCCTGAATTAATATGCAAAGAAACTTAATGCATAACACCAACTGGCTTTACAAAAAAGCTAAATATGCCTGGGTTCCCCAGTACTTCCTTCCACATAACCCACACTTAACAAGTATACTCTGACTGATAATTACCAAATCAACCTCTTAAAAGCTCCCTTGCATTTTCTAAAGCTAACTCATGAGTTTTACATTTCATGAGATGACCAGGAGGCAAAAATGCAGTTTGTGGTTATGAAATGCCAATGTCTCATGGAAAGCAAAGACTTAGCATATGGTTGTGTCCTAAATAACAGAATAAAGCATTGTGGCTGATGGTTTAGTAAATATTTTTCCATTACTCTACAAGACTGCTCACTTAAACATCTACAATAAAAATATTCTCTCAATCAAAATAAACATGTATGATGTAAAAATGAACATATTTACTGAGAATTAAATCACATATTTTGTTTCCAAGAAGATAAGTTATCTGAGAACAGCAGCTGACTAATATAATTAAAAACTATCAACAATCCACCTACAAACTTACTGGCTTAAGAACAGGACCTACCTTCTGTGTAGGCAACAGAACCCTCTGGGGTGCAGTCTCGTCTGCTGCTAAAGGATCTCTTTGGCTCCGGTGGACCAGGTGAAAAGACACAGCTTTCTTCTTCTCTATAAAGGGCTTTTTCTTCCTGTGAGGCTTCAAAGAAACAGAATCACAGTAATTAATCAGAACAGCAGCAAAAAACACTGATTATACCCCACACAGGCATCTTCAATAAGTTATGGGAAGGATCAACAGATTGTCAAAACCTGCAGTTTAAAAAAAAAAAAACAAAACTATCTTCCTTCAACAAACCTTTGTTGGGAGGTACTCCGTGCCAAACCTAGTTACAGGTGCTGGGAATGTAGCAATGGGAAAGTTAAAGTTTCTGTTCTCCACAAGCAAATCACCGAGAACGGGGTTTCAGGTGAAGGCAAGCAAAACGAAAGACAGGGAAGCGTACCGACTCAACAGTTACTTTCAAATGGGGGCTCAGAGAAGGTCCCTGAGAGTCTGAACCAGAATGGGGGTCCAACACAGGAAAATCTGAGGAAGAGTTACAAGCAGGAGAAACACTTCCCGTACCAACTATTAAAACCACGACACAACAGCTGAAGTTGAAGTACAAGATGCACCATCGTTCCACCTTCTCGTTTCACTACACACCCTCGAGTTTCTAAAGTGAAAGATCATTCCAGTTGAGTGGGCCCAATCTTAGAAGCTCCTCTTCCCCAGAGTAGACAGATGAGCAGACAGCTGCCACTGCAACGTCTGGAGAGGCGAGCAAACCCCTCTCCGCCTGACGCCACGAAGCATGGGTGTCGCATCTGTGTGCCTTGTTATAGGTTTTCAGGCCTCTAGGAGGGTAAAGGGTAGGGGTAGGCCATCCTCTTCTGTCTACTCCACAGGAAACGCTAGGCCGTGGAAGCCCCACTCTAAACTGCAAACTATGCCCGCTGTGGTGAGCGTGACCCAAACTGGGACAATGTGCCAAAAGCCGCCTGGCTTCACCTTCGGACGTGCCATCCCAGTTCCAGGATGCAGAAGCCATTGGCTTAGGGGACCCAGCCCGGCCTCTGCCAAAACAGGGCGCCCCAACTCCTACTTACCATGCTTGCAGCCGCGCGGCGCTCACGCCAAACAGGGACGACAGCACTCTCCTAGTCGGACGGAAGGTGACACGGTACCTCCCGACCGCCTCTGAGAATCAGCTCACCGCCCGGTCTTTACTCCACTCCACACGTGCGGCTCCGGGAACCGGCTGGAAACCACTCAGCAGGCCGTGGAAATGGACCAATCCCCGAAAGGCTGAAGGATCACAACCGGAAATTACGCAAAACTCACGCCGGCTCAAGGATCGCGAGAAGCTACTGGTGGGTGGGACTGTTTCTCTCTCGGAGGGCGGGGCTTTTCTGTCCGTAATTAAATTAGCTGGGGACGGGAGTCGTGGGCGCCTGTGCGAGATGAGGCGCGAAAGGGGGTCGCTGTTTATGGGCGAACTTGCTTTTATATCGCCCTCTGCTGAAAAGAGAAGCCACGGAGCTAGCATCCCCATTGACGGTTGTATTTCCTGCCTATTCCTCGCCGTAAGCAAGACAAACAGAACATACAAATAAACTACACAAAAGAAAGGTGGCCACTCTCCTGGGTCCCCGACGTTTCAAGTTCCCTATTTGGGTGGGACTCAGAGCTGGTTGCCTTAGCAACGGAGGATCCTCAGTTCAATTCAGTCGCTCAGTCGTGTCCGACTCTTTGCGAGCCCATGGACTGCAGCACGCCAGGCTTCCCTGTTCATCATCAACTCCCATAGTTTACTCAAACTCATGTCCATTGAGTCGGTGATGCCATCCAACCATCTCATCCTCTGTCATCCTTACTCCTCCTGCCTTCAGTCATTCCCAGCATCAGGGTCTTTTCAAATGAGTCAGTTCTTCACATCAGGTGGCCAAAGTATTGAAGTTTCAACTTCAGCATCAGTCCTTCCAGTGAATATTCAGGACTGGTTTCCTTTAGGATGGACTGGTTTGATCTCTTTGCACTCCAAGAGTCTCTCAAGAGTCTTCTCCAACACCACAGTTCAAAGCATCAGTTGTTTGGTGCTCAGCTTTCTCTATGGTCGAACTCTCACATCTATACATGACTACTGGAAAAACCAAAGCTTTGACTAGACAGACCTTTGTCAGCAAAGTAATGTCTCTGCTTTTTAATATGCTGTCTAGGTTGGTCATAACTTTTCCTCCAAGGAGTAAGTGTCTTTTAATTTCATGGCTGCAATCACCATCTGCAGTGATTTTGGAGCCCAAGAAAATAAAGTCTCTCACTGTTTCCCTTGTTTCCCCATCTATTCGCCATGAAGTGATGGGAGAAGATTCCATAATATCAGTTTTATGAATGTTGAGCTTTAAGCCATTTTCATTCTCCTCTTTCACTTTCATCAAGAGGCTCTTTAGTTCTTCTTCGCTTTCTGCCATATGGGTGGTGTCATCTGCATGTCTGAGGTTATTGATATTTTCTCCTGGCAATCTTGAGTCCAGCTTGTGCTTCATCCAGTCCAGCATTTCCCATGAAATGGGACCTTGCTATTCTAGGCAGCACTTAGGCTTAATCAGGTCTTTATTTTCCACTTAATGAACTGTGTTCAAACATCCAGTTAATAACCCTTCCCCCCGACTCTGTTGACAGTCGAGGAATTCCGACTAATATATTCAGAATCTGTTTGGTGTTTGCATACCTTAGCTTGGGAGGTGGAAACTAATGTTTAGTCTTTTTCAAGCTACCCCTCAAACATTTGGTCATAGTTTAATCAAAGGCTATAAGCATATCTACTTAGGGCTTCCCTCATAGCTCAGTTGATAAAGAATCTGCCTGCATGCAGGAGACCAGGGTTTGATTCCTGGGTCAGGAAGATGGCCTGGAGAAAGAAATGGCAACCCACTCCAGTATTCGTGCTTGGAGAATCCCATGAACAGAGGAGTCTGGCAGACTACAGTCCATGCGGTCGCAAGAGTCAGGTACAACTTAGCAACTAAAGCACCACCACCACATCTACCTATTACCACCACAAGATTTCAGATGGGTGCTGGCCCACTCTCAGAGCTTTTCCTGGGCAAAAGAGGGTGGTAGTGTAGTCAAGTTTTATCAGCAGGCCTTTCTTCAAATTTGTGTTTCCTCTTCCCAATTTCTGGTGTCTTTCCAAAGTCTAAGTTTCCTTGAATTGTGTCTTTATGTCCTACCTATGGTGGTGCAGTGGTAAAGAACCTGATTGCCAATATAGGAGGTGCAAGAGACATGGGTTCCATCCCTGGGTCAGGAATATATCCTGGAGGAGGAAATGGCAACCCACTCCAGTATTCTTGCCTGGAAAATCTCATGGACAGTGGAGCCTGGCAGGCTACAGTCCATGGGGTCGCAAAGAGTTAGACATGCATTACTATTGTAAATTTCTATGGAATATTATACTTTTATTACAGTGAAAATTACAGGCAATTTAGGTTCACAGAACTTGTGTTGGAATAATGCTTTGTAACAATGATACTATCAATACAGAACACTCCAATGTGCTACACATTCAGTATAGTTAAGCTTCATGAGTGCAGGTTTTGTTTTGATCTGTTTTGTTTACTACCTTATCTATCTTCAGGACCTAAAATAGTGCCTGGTGGGTACACTCAATAAATACTTGTTTAAATGAAGTAACGTCTGACACTTTACCTGAATTATCTTAGATCTTCCTGACCATAGCACTATGAGAGAGGTACTGTTATAAACACTGAGAGTCAAAGCAAGTCAGATTAGAATTGGATAGGTTTGTTTATCTAAAAACATGCATCATTTTCCACTGAAACACAAATTTCTCCCTATAATATTGAATAATAATAGTAGTATACTTGGTATACTAGCTGAAATTGGTTTCTGGCCTTTGTTTTACTCTTATTGTGTAACCTGGGGCAAGACACCTTCAGTTTACTGACCTGAATGTAAAATGGGATGAGAATATTATTAACAGTTACCTCATGGGATTGTTGTTGGGTTAAATGAGAAACCACATGTGAAATGTCTGGACCTGTGCATGGCTTGTGATCAGTGCTCCATGAAGGTGGAGCCATTGTTTTCATCTCAGCTAAGTGTAGTTATTTACCTATCATCATTGTTGCCTTCGAATCACCAGCTCCTGAAACTAGGGCCTTCAGCATCTGAGACCTGTTGATGAATATGTGCTCTGCCTCACATCACATTCACATCATAGGAATCTGTAAGCTTGCATCTTGACCCAAGCTATCAGCTTCCTGGAATCCTAAACCTTTTGCTTTCCTTTCATTTCTGGCACCTTTCATGTCTTAAATTACATGCATAGCTCTTTTACTTGCTTCTAGTCCATAGTACAGAGAAGGCAATGGCAACCCACTCCAGTACTCTTGCCTGGAGAATCCCAGGGACGGGGGAGCCTGGTGGGCTTCCATCTATGGGATCGCACAGAGTCGGACACGACTGAATTGATTTAGCAGCAGCAGCAGTCCATAGTAATTGTATGTTCTTTAAAATTCTTTTTAACTGCACATTGATATTGCTTGGCTTTATGCTGACTGACTCCTGTTCTTAGAGTCACAAGTACATACATTTCATTGGTGAATACACTTTGGAAATACTGATCCAAATTAATTTTCTTTACTGTATCTTTCCAATTATAAAATGATTTTTGAGTGTTCTTTGGTACATTTCAGTTGTGTTCAAAGCACTCAGATGATGTGTAAATGAAATGATTTTACAGTCTTGGAGACAAACTCAGGTGATGAAGAAGCAGTTTATTAAAATTTCATTGTAGTACTTTCTTCATGGTCTTAGGCCACATTGTCTATAGGGGTGTTTTTATCCTTTTCCACAACTTCCGTTACATGTGCTGATGATTCTCATCTTCCTCTCTATAGCCCAGACCTTTTCCCTGACTTTCAGAGTCACATATCCAACTGTACATCTATTGGCATATAGCTGTAGATACTAACATTTCATAATTGAATAAATACTCTAGGGAGAAAAAAACTGACATTTTCAGTGCTCGTTGACATAATGGTGTGTTCCTGGATGAACTTTTGACTTTGGTTGGCCCAAGTCAGACAATCTGGAATAGGGAGTCCTCAACATAGAAAATAATTTGCCCCTAATTGTTCTTGTAGGTATACTCAGCAGTTCAAATTCAAGCCATAAATGATCCTTTCCCATAGTTTAATAAGTCTGTTACCTCTTTAGTTTAGTTCCTGATTCCTTTGAAATCTTGGTCATTGCCTCAATGAGTCTTCTCCAACCTTTTTAATCTTGCTACCATATTATTCTTTCTTAAAGACAACTCTTGTATTATTCAGATTCAGAATTTTCCAATGAGTCTCCGCTGCCTATTCAGTACCTCCCAGGGGCCTTAGTCAGCCCTCAAGATCTTCTGCAGTTTCACCACAGATCATGATTTCACACTACCTTCCTTTTATTTTTCACTCAAATTGAATGAGACCAAATTTCCCCCAAGTACAGTATGGACTCTTTCAGCATTACTTTGCTTACATCATTCTCTCCAACTGGAATTTTCTTCTATTTTGTAACATCCCACTCATCCTTTTAGGAGGGATTGAAATTTTTCTCCCACTGTTTGGTTCCTAGAAAAGCCACCACTTACAGCAAAAGAGCAAAAAACCTTTACATAAACATTACATTTTAAACCTTTCTCTAGAGTTTTATGCATTCTACTACTAGTGTCCATTTTTTACAGGACAGACTTCAAAGTTCACAAACTGGACAAGGACTTGGGTTGTCTGAACAGCAGTGCTGGTGGTAGCAACTCCATGCCACGTCTGAGTTGAGGTCCCACGAAGAGTTTAGTCAAATTTAATAAAATTTCATAAATTTGATGCTACGAAAGCACTGCAGAAAATGAGAAAATTGTCTCTTACTACCATTAAGTTTTATCTTATTTATTTATTGGCTGTGATGCACAGCATGTGGGATCTTAGTTCCCAGATCAGGGACCGAACCCACACCCCCTGCACTGGAAGTGCAGAGTCTTAACCACTGGGGAAGTCCCTCTGTTAGGTTTCACAGAGTAATGTTTCCATCACTGATTCTTTTGGCTCTTTTCCCTTACCCTACAAACCTACAATAAAACATTTTGGTTACAAGGAAAAAAGAAAGTAATGGTTCCATGTAGAACCTGGTTTTGTGTGAGAAAAATGGAAAGTGGTTGTTTAACTACTATATCTACCTTGGAGATGCACCCCTGAGTTTTAATAGCATATTTGGGTCCAGTTTTGAAACCTACTCTATTTTTTTGGTCCTGATCTTTTCTCTTACAAGTCCTCCCTCTAGGGTTGTTTTTGTTCAGTTGCTTAGTCGTGTCAACTCTTTGTGACCCCATGGAACTGTATCACACCAGGCTTCCCTATCCTTCACCATCTCCCAGAGCTTGCTGAAACTCATGTCCATTTGTCGGTGGTGCCATCCAACCATCTTGTCCTCTGTCATCCCCTTCTCCTCCTGCCTTCATTCTTTCCCAGCATCAGGGTCTTTTCATCTAACCATCTCACCCTCCATCGTCCCCTTCTCCTCCTGCCTTCATTCTTTCCCAGCATCAGGGTCTTTTCTAATGAGATGGCTCTTTGCATCAGGTGGCCAAAGTATTGGAGCTTCCACTTCAGCACCAGTCCTTCCAATGAATATTCAGGGTTGATTTCCTTTAGAATTAACTGGTTTGATCTCCTTGCAGTCCAAGGGACTCTCAAGAGTCTTCTCCAGCACCACAGTTCAAAAGCATCAATTCTTGGGTGCTCAGCCTTTTTTATTGTCCAACTCTCACATCCCTACATGACTACTGGAAAAACCATGGCTTTGACCCGATGGACGTTTGTCATAAAGGTTGCTTTATGACACAAAATAGCTTTGCAACTTCCATCTCATACCTTTGCCCTTGTCTTAGAGCATGAGGGAGGTTCACACATAATTTTTAACCACGGCTGAAAAACAGGAAAAGTATATGGAAATTCCTTTTCTAGTCAAAATATGTTCCCAAGATCTCTCCTTGGTTGTCAACATATTAAATAGTAGGCATAATGAGGAAGTCTGTTTATTTTCTATATTACTAACTCTAAAGGGACTATCTTATTTTTTACACATTATAATGTGAATGAAAATAGCAATTTCAAATCTCAGATGTAAAAAAGACAGACATGAAAAGACAGCTTATAAAAAAAGACAACTTATTTTTAAATAAAATGTAAAAATAAGCTGTAAGTTGCTGTTTAAAGCAGCAATTCTTTAGACGGATATTTTATTTATTTATTTATTTTAAATATTTATTTATTATGTGGTTGTGTTGGGTGTAAGCTGTGGCACTTGGGATCCTCCTTGTGTCATGGGGGAGTCTTTCATTATGGCACACAGATTCCCTGCTTGTGGTGCAAGAGCTCAGTAGTTGTAGCACACAGGCTGAGTTGCTCTGTGGCATGCGGGATCTTAGTTCCCTGACCAGGGATCGAACCCATGTCCTTTGCACTGCAAGGTAGATTCTTAACCACTGGATCATCAGGGAAGTCCCCAGACAGATATTTTAAATTAAAGGTACAAACCGTGAGGACTTGAATACAAAAAGTTTTAAGTCAGGTGGAGTTGAAATTACAGGAATTAGAAAAGCTATCTTATTCTTGCTTTACAGGTATGGACTCTGAGCTTTTAATTTAGAAATACTGAGCCCTGTCTGAATACAACAGAAATTGGAACAAACTAAAGCTGGGATTTCCCAATGATTTTATTGAGGTAACTTTTCCCAATTTTATACATATATGCATTTATATACTTAAGAAAGCTAAACAATGTTCTAAGGCACTTGGAATTGTGCACGGCAAAGCATACTATAACATCATACAACTACACAGAGCATAATCTTGCTTTTTAAATAACACAAACACCAATACAGAATAAAAAAGATAATACATAGTCTTTCTTTCAGGTTACAATAGTGGAATTACATATACATATGTGTGTATACTTGTAGATATTTATACCCACATACTATAATACAGTACAGGTTTCAGAACAACACACAAAAAAGAGAAACTGTCATGTTAATCAGTATACAGTTCCAGTTATTTACAGTCACAGATATTATACCTGTGTAATATGTAGGATAAGATCACTAATTGGAAATTAGAAATCAGTCAGCCTGATAACAATCACAGCTTACCATTCTTATCACTTTCACCAAAGCTTGAAATAACAGAAGAATGCATATAGTTCTTTATTTAAACCTCACTGTTACATAGAAAAAAAAAATGACTAGGTTGAATTTTTAGTAGGTACTCAATCTGGTGAAATTGGTGCAGAATGTTGTGAACGCATTGGCACATCTCTAAGCCACAGAAGAAATATTTTTAAAAATAAAAATTAGTGCCTATATTTTTAGTGATGAAAGTGGTTTGACCCTAGATTCATTCAGGTTGTTTATGAATGCTAGTTAGCACTGCCATGATGACTTCTTACTGTAGAAGCTCTGTAAGCAATGTAATACACAGTCAAACTATAACAAAACATCCAGTAAGGGAAAAGTCCCCCAAACTGGCAAGTGGCACAAATGTTATTGGCATTTTAACACAGCACAAAATTGACCTGAGGGCGGAGTGGCGTTCTGCCTCATTTACTCCCTTCAATTTATTCTTGAAAAAAAAAAATTTGGTATTTAGCAAGAATTCTTAAGCACCATCTTAAAGTTCACAATATAACCATTTTTATTGACCGAGTTACTCTGCTTCAAAAAAGATTTTAGAAATTTTAACATTGAAAAAAAATTATAGTGGCTAACTTAATTTGATCCTTTAGTCACAATTCACCCAAATCATTTCAAGACACATTTATCATTCAATTTTGATGATAAAAAGTTACAAAGAGAATAAGTATGTTTATGTATAGTTAAGATAATAATATTTCACCCAGGTAAAACTCATCTGGTTTTATGAATGACCGTCATTGAAGTATGAACAATATGCATGCGATCCACAGCTCACCCTTCTTTCATTCATAATTTAGTATTCACAAATCTAAGAAAAGTTGAACTGCATGAAAGTCTCTGCAGGGGAAATGCAAATATTTGCATGTAGATGAAATGCTTCTTTAACAGGATAAATGAGATTGTTTAGGAACTCATGGGATGCAGTTTACTAGGTGAAACCTAATGGTGATTTTCATAGACCACCAGTTTTGTTTATGTGTGGATAGTTAGCAGTCGTGTTTGTGGTTAAGCCATGCAATGATCCTCATGACACTGCCTAGGGCTACGACTGATAGTGTAGTTGTGAAGTCAAATTGAGAGGCAAAATAAAAAGTGTGTTTCATGTGAACTCCGTCCTTTACATACAGGGACTAACCAAGTGATGATGCCTGTTGGAACTGCCGAGACTACCCAATAACCTCCTCCATGAAGAACTGGAAAACTAAAGCTGCCATCACAAGGCTAGATGCGGAAGGCAAGAAAAATGAGAGAGGAAGAAATGATTCAGAGCCCAAAGAAATGCAAGGCAGTCGAGATGAGGTTTTGAGATAGACACTTTTTCCCGTGTCCTCAAATTGCAGTAGGCAGTGGTATTTAAGGGAGGTGGCAGTGCCCTCCCAGGAGGGCATTTGAACACGGGGGAGGACTTTTTACTTTTAGTATTTACAACAGTTGGGCATCCTACTGGCATTTAGCCAGCCAGGGCCTGGGAGAGTAAACAGCTTGCAACTCATGAGACATTTCTGTACAGCAAAGAATTGCCCAGCTCAAATGCCAGCACTAGCCCCACTGAGAAGCACGGATGGAGTGCTCTGCTTACGTGCGCCGCTCTGCCAGCTAAGTGGCATTTTTTCTGTAGTAAATCCTAGCATGGCTAAAAAATGACCCTTGCCTCGAGGGCTGGCTTCCAGTGCGAATGGCTGCTATAGGATTCTCTCTTTCTCTTTTTTTTTGGTGCCAGAAATCTTACAGTGTATACAATAGGGTTTCTTAATTTGGGATGACCCTGTCTTCAAAAAAGCATAAGTGAGCTATTTTGGGGTTGTTTTCTAGAAATGCTAATGGTGGTTTGCCATTTCCACAAAGAGTTTAAGCTTAATGGTTACAAAAAGTAAACGGAAAGTGAAAATGAGAACGGTTTGGGAGTATTCCACCCTATTTCTACCACCCTTTGATCACTAACAAATTATAATAGCGCCTCGGGCTGCTCTTCGAAAATTCGGTGTCCTCTATATGGAGATGGGCTTTCTCTCAGAAAGATGGTCCTATTAATTTGATGATTACTTTTGCCATTGCATTCTTCTCTAGGAAATAGTTCAGCTGGAAAAGTTCATTTTGCTTTGGCAAGTGAAATACTGTGACAGACACTTAGACACGCAACAGTGGAAGAATAGCCAGTTCAAGTGGCCATGGGAAAATTTTGTAAATAAGTCATTATCTTAGTGGTTCCTTAGTGCTTGTAACATTCTCTAACCATGTGAAGAAATTAATTCTTGTCTCAAAATATATATACTTTCATTAGTAAGGTTAGGCTTCATAATATGATTGTATCTAGGAATGTTTAAGGCTACCATACTGATGAAATGACATAAATTTATATGTCTTATACTAGCTTGATTCCATCTTACCTCCTTTGAAGATTTCTCATTAGGTGTAAAATGTGCTGCTGGAACCACTTAGAGAAGTATTCTGACACTTCTGAAGAGCTTTCACTGTTTAAATGTGGAGACACTGTTATGTGATAGACAAGGTTGCTTTTTTCTATTGTGAATGCAGTATAATTTGTGACAGTTGTGTCTGATTCTATTAAGGATAAATACAATGCCTGTTTTGTGTTAAAATGTGGTACACATTAGGATATGCAGTGTTAGTGCAGATTTTTCTATTTTAGGTGTAAGCTATTGTATTTTTTTTTAAGTGCCAATGCAGCACTGAATTAATTGCAGGTTGTAAAACTTGAGTTATGAGTTTTAAGGACTTATCTCTCATTTTCAATATTTGATGATTATTAAGGAGTGTATTTAATTCCTATATTTCCTTAAAAAGATTTTTACTGACATTTCAGAAGTTTCTCCTAACACAGTATATTTACTAACATAAGAGAAAGGTAAATGATTACAATCAATATGCTAATACAGGACATGAAAATGAAAGCAGAAAGTCAATTTTTCTGGATAAATCAGATAGAATGTGTTTTTTCCCCTTCAATTTGAAACAGCTGTTCAAATACCCAAACTAGTTCTCTACTATAGATTTAATTTTAGGAATTATCATAAAGGTAAACTATATTGAACAACAACAAAAAAAATGCAAGCTATTTCACACATATAGGAAATTATCAGGCAAGGCTGCCTAAAATTAATGCTAATCATCAGAAACTAATTTTGTCAGAACATGAAGATAATGCTAAAGCTCATGGCATCTTCTTATTACCTTAACGTTAAGGTTCTTTTTCTCCATTTTAAAAAATATGGAAATGACCACTTTTGTTTTTACAAAATCAAACTAGTCTGTCTAGTTCTTTCGTGCCTGAACTTTTCTGGAGATGGACTTGTTTTTCTTCCTTAATCATATCTTAGGGACTCAGAAAAACCACTTACTTCTATGTCAGCCTAATGTTGCACATTAAATAGGAAAAACCCTGATTTTGTACTGGAAGAACCCAACTCACACACACATTTATTTTTACAGAACCGCAGCTTACTGGCTGGATTGCAGAAATGCTGGCACTAGGTAGATACATAATTCTATGGCGGCTGGTCCACATCCTCGTATCCTTTCAGAGCTGCTTTGCAAGAGACCTCTGGATGGGCTGCTGATGTGGATATGCAGTGTTTCTGCCTTTTAAAATTAGCTATTAAAACAGAGCTTCACTCTGTGAATGTAGCTTAGCTCATAATCCTTTCATTCTTTTTATTTAAAGGATCATTCCAATGAAATAATTCATGGTTCCAATTCTTAAACTAGTAGTGGTTAATTTTTTTTTTAATTTTCTTAAAAAAAAAGAAAAGTTTAAAACTTTTCCCTACACACATCAATCAGTAGAAGAGAAAGTATGGGTAGTTCATAAATCTGACATGTCATAGCAAGAAAACAATATATTGAGGACCCAGAATCTCATTTTCCTTTTCAGAGTCTTATTTTTTGTACTAAGTGCATCTCACTATAGGGAATTAAAAATTATATCACATGCACTACTAGGGGGAAAAAGATGGTTCCTTTTATCAACCAAATAGAGACTTTCTATGACATGCATCTTGAGTGACAAAACAGTGATAAATGTCTTATATTTGCCATTTTGATAGGAGCCTTGTGACTAGAAATTAAAACAATGTTTTAAGATTATAAGTATAGAAAATTAAAATAACATTACATGCCTTGGTATTTTTCCTAAGACACTAAAATGACAATAAAACAATACCAAAAGGAAAAACATGACTTTAGCAAAAAAACCTGGAACATCGTTAATATCTATGGCTGGATTTAAACACTATGAAATGAACAAAATTTCAATCAGATTAAAGATACTAGGGCATGCAGAAAAATTTTTTCAAAGCAAAAATGAGTTATTCTATCAAAGAAATGACAATAGTGCAAAATTCTAGGTTTATTGTATTAATCCACACAGCTGTGTATAGCAAGAGAGGCAACGATGCCCACTACTTTTCTTAGTTATAAAATGGTCCTGGCTTTTTTGTAATAGGCCAAGTGGGACGACATTTTTTATTTCTTACAAATCCAATTTTAAGTGGTTCTTTAAAATATAAATGAATGGCAGGACCCAAATTTACCCATTAGATTAAATGTCTGCTTTTGGTTGAAATAGAAAATTACAGTTTTCCATACAATGAACAAGAATCACTTCAGAAAATCCTAGTCCAAACTCTGAGAATAAAATAGTCTCTTTAGGTCTTGTTGTGTTGTTCTACATCACATGTGTTTTTAATAAAAGGGGCACAAAATAATTGTGAAAGAACAATTAGATGCAAGGTAGTATTTACACGTGGTCATAGGTACTTGGGAGCGGAAGCCACGCTATGCCCATGACTCCATGGAAAATAGCAAGATGACAATAATGGCTTCTTAATGTAAACAATATTGACTGTAGGCTCATGGGGAAATCTTTCGTAACTTTAATTCACTTTTGTATTGAAAGTCAGTTCTGTATTTATGGATGCAATTTGCAGACTCTTAAAATACCAAATGAAGTTCTCCTTACTTAACAACTTAGCAGAAATTTTCTGTTCTTTTAAGCCTTTGGGTGAGTGTTGTTTTTTTTTTTTAATCCATGTGCTTTATTTTTTTTAATAGCAGCAATCCAACTTAATGCAGCATGAAAACTAAGTAGTTCTTTCCGTTCCCATTCAGAGCCAACTGCTGGCAGAACACCTGTATTTTGCTTAAGTTTAACTTTGGATTCAGACTTTTTTAAAAGGTGCCATGATTGTAGATAGTATATTCCTTAAATCAAGTAGGACTGTTTCAACTTTGGAGATAATTAAGCTAGAGAAAGACCAAAAGATTCATTTCTTTTTTTTTTTTTCTCAAAAGATTCATTTCTAAAGCTTGCTACAGATTTATAGGGTCGCATTACCTCTTTATTCCCAGTCCTGTTATCCTTGTGGAAGATTGGTATGTAGGTAAGGAGTATTTAAAAGAATGTAAAGTGTGTATAGCTATGCTACTTGAAGCATGCAACAAAATTTGGGTAAGCATGCTTATTAAGAGTCAGTAAAAGCCTCTTGCATTTAAGAAAAAGATACATGAAAACACTCAGACTTATTTCTGGCAACTGGATTCACTGGCACAATGACAAGAAAATAATGGTACTACGCTGCACCAATATAATGGTGAAACAAGAATATTCTTCTAGGATCAGGTCTAAGAAATCCACATTGAGTGATTAAACTCCCAAACTCCTTAATAAGTTCTCAATTACCCAAAGCCTCTTCAAAAATACATTTATGCTTCTATTTCCTTTTTGCATTAACGTAATGAAGTATTTCTTGCTTTCTGATTTTCACCGCCCTCCCCCCTTCGCCCCCCACAACCCTTTCCAGTGCTCAGAAATTCCATTCCCCATTCTTTAACCCACACTCTCAAATGTGGCTTTCTGGCAACAGCGATTGTCTTCTGCTCATCTTCTTTGATTAAAACTCCTGATGAAGAATAACTGGCGTAAACATGGTGCTCCTTACCATCAGCCCACATGCTGGACAGCAGGGTCGCTGAACAGCTGGGTCGCTAAACCATCCCCTTTGCTTGTTGGCCCATCCGGGCTGTACAAGTAGGGAGCATTTTCCACACGCGTCCTCCACCACAAGTTAAACAGAAACACACACATTCAAATCCCAGTGCAATATCAGGTTTTCAAGAAGCGAGGCTTCCGCCCAAGGTGATCAGTCTGTTTCCCAAGAATCTCATGCTTCATTATGGACGATGAAACCTGAAATACGAAACAGAAACTCTGTGATGTGGTAGAGAAACAAAACTCTATTCAGTGACGTGAATATGGTACAGTCATGTTTATGATCAAAGGTGGCTCTAGCATCCCCAACTGAATTACTGGTCTCTTAATAAATAACTGTCATAACAGAAGATTGTTATAAATGTCATGTGGGAAAACAGACAGGTCTGCAAAAGATGCTGGTTTTATCATCTGAGATAGAGAGCAATCAATACACAAAACATCACTATCTTGAGGGCCATGTTCTAACCGATATTGAACAAAGTGAGACATTTCATAGAGGATTTGGTTACACCTGATTTGTCACTACAAAAAGGAAAACACCATCATGTAGCAGTCACTATTTCATTAGCTTCAGCCTCTCTTCACTTGCCGCTGAAGACTCCAAATGTATTTTCTATACCTGAATTTTCAAACACCTCCCAGGCATTTCCTTACAAATGTTCCACAGGCAACATACTAAGCATGTATATAGATACACAAATTATCTTTCCTTGTGAACCTACCTTTATGCTTTCTATCTTGTTAAATGTTCTACCTTTTAAAATACTTTCAGTCTAGAAGCCTAAGATTGCAACTTTCTCCCTTTCACCCTCCATGTCTCATCAGTCACCAAGTCCTGCCCCGACTGCCTGTCTCTGGATTCATTCAAGCCTTTGCCACCTTTTGCTGAAACTACTAATGATACTAACAGCATGCTAGCTAGCTGGCTGGATTCATGCCCCTCCGTGAATAGTCCTTGTGATTTTGTAGCCCTCTGCTTTTGAACATGTTCCTCTCTAATATTGCAATCACTCCTTTCATTTTCCATGTATGTTTTCATATCTAAGATCAAGGTCAAAAGCCATCTTCTCCAGAAGCCCTTATCTGATTCACTTCTTCAGCCTACTTCTGTGATTCCACAATTATGCAATTCTACTTGGTATTTCATTTATCTTGCCTACTCTCATGTTCATTTGTTCAAGTAAAATCTAATGTTCATCTGCCCAGACTCCAAATTAATTTCCCTGTCTCAGGCTCATAGATTGGGAGACCAAATCTATGCTCCACACTGTCACTGGCATTATTACCATAAATACTGATCCAATCATCCTAGATCTTTGTTAATATCGTTGCACTGTTCCCCACTATTGATAAAATTTAAATTTCTTAGAGTGATGGCTGAGGCTTTTCAGGCTGTGGCCCAACCCATTTTCTAACTTCACAATCACTCCCTAAATACCCTAAGTTCCAATCATGTGCCCTACTAAAGGCTCTCCACTTTCCTTTACCCTTATCTTTCCTCTCATCTCTATCTCTTACAATCTTCCTCTGTGAGTTCCCCAAAATCCTTTTTCCTCTACCTCTCAGAAAAGCAATAATTGCTTCTATTCTGTGTACCCACAATATTTGGTTTATACCAGTTACTGATCATTGTGTGTGTGTGTGTGTGTGTGTGTGTGTATGGGTGTATCTCCTTTTAGATCGTGAGATGCTAAGAAAAGACTTGGGCTTATTCACTTTCATATACTCATAGAATACATTATCTAGCATATGGTATTACTTAATAAATGTTGCTATGTTGAATCAAGCATTAAAAACAAAAAATTAAAGACAGAAGAACAGATGAAACAAGATTGGCTATAAGTTGACAATTGGAGCTATATGAAGGCTGTATGGAGCCTGTGACATGACATTACTTCAGCATGTTCGACCAGAAGTCAAAATAAAATAGGTTATACCAAGTTTTCCAAAACAAGCAAACACGTTGTGATTCAAGTAGGGATGTGTCCACTATGAGTTCAATTCTTGACTCTGTTCTGTCCACACCCTTCGGCAGGTGTGTGAACCTCCATGTTCTACAGTGTTACGCAGGGATAACACGATTGCTTCAGTCACCTAAGCTTTATTCCTGCCCTCATGCAAAAATCCTAACCACCTCAGGCCTCCTGCAGCAGCTCTCCCCACTCCATTAGCTGATACCCTTAGGGGAAGTGTTTTTCTCTCCTCAAACAGTGCTGGCAGCTTCCTCTTGTCATTTAAATCACAGAGTAAGTTTAATTTCCTCCAGAGACCCTGTTCTTAGCCATTCTATCCATATCCACCCTCGCTCTTGGCACAGCGTCCTGTTCCCTTTTTTTTTCATAGCACTTAGCACTGTCTGAAATGATCATGTCTAGGGGCTTCCTGAGTGGTCCCACAGCTAAGACTCCGTGCTAAATGCAGGGGGCTCAGGTTCGACCGCTGGTCAGGGAACCAGATCCCATGTGCCGCAACTAAGACCCAACACAGCCAAGTAAATAAATATTTAAAATAAGAGCACCCACTCTTTTAAAAAGAAAAGAAGTGATTATTGTCTATTTGGTCATTTACTTGCTAACTGTCTGTCGCCCTCACTAGAACACAAGCATGTGAGAGTGAGGACTTAGACATGTTCTAAACTCCTAGGGTCCAGAAGAGTATGATTCACTCTCTGTGCTCCGTAAATACTTGCTAACACATGAACGACTGAGTACATATTTATAGGTGCACTTGGTTATTTGATTACTTGTTCTATAAGTAACTGTATGTAACTGAAGAGTTTAATCATGAGATCCACTTAACACAATTGCACCTGAGTATATACTGATCCATGATAACCCATTTGATATGATATTCCATCATGCTTTCTAGGAAGAGTCAACTATAACCTGAAGAAAAACTATGCAAATTGTATAAAAATATTTCAAGAGTAATTGAAAACCTCTTAAAATCAAACATATAAAACGTGAAAGAAAGAGAGGCAGATAATACTTAACTATTAAATTTGGTGGCACTAGCAGTAAAGAACCTGCCTGCCAATGCAGGAGACATGAGATGAGGGTTCTAGCCCTGGGTCAGGAACATCCTCTGGTGGAGAAAATGGCAACCCACTCCAGTATTCTTGCCTAGAAAATTTCCATGGACAGAGGAGCCTGACAGCCTACAGTCCACGGGGTTGCAAAGAGTCACACATGACTGAGCACACACATTAAATTCTACTATGTGCCTAGCACAATTCCAAGTGCTATACATATACTACCGCATTTAATCTTCAAAATAATCCTATGAGGTAAGTACTCCTGTATCCTTTTTGTACAGATGTAGAAACTGAGGCAAAGGGATGCTCAGTCATGTACTCAAGGCAGAGAGCTTGAAGGCCAGGCTCTAGACTCTGTGTTCCTAACCTATGTGAGACTATGAGATTAAGACATATCTATCTATGCGTGCGTGCATGCTAAGTCGCTTCAGTTGTCATCCATGATTTCATTCAAAGGGTACTTTTGTTGCCCTCTGGGTAGAACGGAATGGAAAACGTAATCAACTGGATTTCTACACCCACCAGTTTTGATCAGTTCTGACCAGAGACAAATCTTGGTCCACATTTCCAGGCTACACTTTGATTGCTACAGTTGTCTCAAACACATCTGCCTTTTGCTGCCACAAAGAGAACTAGATGAAAATGGGCTCAGCACAAACTTTTCTCAATTACCAGAAAAAGCCAGGCCAGTGATGTCCTGGGGTGGGGGGCGGCAGGGAGAGTGAAACAAGAAGCAGGACAGAGGAGCACCACCCACACCGCATGGAGGGAGGAGGAATAGCCCTGGGAGCTCTGACAACACAAACATACTGCACCTGCAGGATCTTCACACCCTGACCTATCAAAGATCCCTCTTTGTAGCAATTTTTTAAGGTCTCTCCAAATTTGCAGGACCAATCATTCCACAGTGTCCTAATCTTCACTTGGTCTTGGGTTCCAAGGACACGAGAGGCTTTCTCTTCAATCAGTAATGTCTGGGATGAAGAAGGTAACTTAAGAATAGGGTTGGGTGGGACCTCCCAATGCAAGGGTCCTGGGTTCGATCCCTAGTCAGGGAACTATATCCTGCATGCTGCTACTAAGATCCGGTGCAGCCAAATAATAAATAAATAAATATTTAAAAAGAAATTGGGTTGGGCAACAATGGGAGTAGCCAGTGGACCAAATAAGATTTAGAACCTTTTAAAACCCAGTATTTTCCTGGAACGTGTCCTGCTTTTAATTTCCAAAAATTAGCAGGACACTATGAAATTTTTTGTGTTTTTCTGCAGACGCTATTCGCCCATGGATCCCATTACAGAATGAGTTCACAGACTGGATTTTGTTTGAAAGTCAGGCCATCAGTGTAGTGTCTAGACTGGCGAGGAGAAGATGACAACTAACCAATACTCTGCGGTAATATGCTGACAAAGTTGGGGGTCAGAACTGTAACCTCTCCTTATAAGCACTTCCCAGATCTGGTCAAAATACCCATATATTTTCTTACACTATCCAATCAGAAAGGAACATTTATATCCTGTTTAAATTAGGCATCTTATCTTCAAAATCAACTAAAACATTTTATGGTGAGAGGTGCTGAAAACGCAAATTTTTCTTAAGTTTGGTACCGCTCGGTGGCTTGCATTCATTTTGAGGTACATGAAGTTCAGCTTTACCTCCGGGGAAGTTTGCCTATCTGACAGAATGACAGTTTGGCTTTAGGCTTCAAGTTGATGAAGCAATAAATAGAATTACTGTGCCCTCATGATCCTTAAGCTTCTCGTCTATCCTTTTGTCAGAACTTTCCTGAAACTCAAACTTGGAAGCTATCTATATTTCCTTCTTGTTAAAAACATCAATAATTTTTTTTTTATATTCATACTTTTGAGAGAGAGTGAATAGAAGCAAAACACCAAGTCATGGAATTCAGGTAAAGATAACTCTTTCCCATGATGGTTCCTACACAAATACATAAAAATTTTCACCTTCCTATAAATTCATTTCCGATAATATAAAATATGAAATGACTCACTAAATGTAAAATGTTACTTTCCTATACTTCCCCAGTTGATATATTCAGAAATCCTGAGTTAATTAATTTCCTCTTTATTTAAAAGGGTTTAATGATCAAGGCACATACAATTATGTTAAATAAATGAGGAGGTTCTCCTAGACCACTGCT